CCCCGGCAAACAGTTGAGGGGCGACGCCCACGGGCCTCCCACCAAGACCACATTCTCACGTTCCATTCTGCTGCTGCCTGGACAGCTTGATACGCCCCCTGTTCTCCATGTCATGAATGCAAACCTAACAAATACATTTGGCGCGTCTCAAGACAGGCTTTCTCCTGCTCTACCTTACCGCAGCCATGATATGCTCGTCCAAATCTTTCCAGGGGTGGAAGGAACTCTTATGCCCAAGATCACGACACATTAAATCTAGAGGCTCGCCCCATCGAAGCCACGCCATGTCTCCGGCCAACATCACCCATTACCTAGCTACGCTTGACCCACGCCTTATTACAAAGCCCTCGACTGCAAAGAGGAACGTTTTCTACTTGACCAACTGACTTTGGCCGATGACAATGACGCTATCCATCGATCCAATCGTCCAAAATGACAGCGGACCGTTTGGAGAAGTAGAAACCCACTCCAACCTCATCGGACGTAGGAGCGGGGCTGAAAACTCGCCGCTGCTTGTATCATACAACAATCGCGATCCCAACGAGACGTCCAACGCCCGCAACCACTCCATCTATGTCACGGCCAAGTATCTATCTCGCGTCGCCGTCAAGTGCTTGTGTCAAACCTGGCACGTCACGAAGGTGTCGCTCTGTAGCTGTGAGTGACCCATTTGCCCACGGTTTGGCGAGGCCTCCGACGATGCACTCTCATTCTCACAAGTCACTTGTGCTGCAGCTAAACTCAATCTCCTTCTACCCATGCTGCCCCTTTCTGGCGTCGCCAGATCACTCCATTGGGGGCCGACTGCCGTGTTCGCCATCAACTTCCTTGCCATCATTCCTCTTGCCGCAGTTCTCTCGTTCGCGACCGAGCAAGTATCGGTAAGGTGCGGTAAGGAGGTGAGCGCGTTACTCAACACTACGTTCGGAAACGCGGTCGAAGCTGTCATAGGTATCGTTGCTCTAAGGAAGGGCCATATCGACGTTGTCCAGATGGCCATGCTCGGGTCTATTATCTCCGATTTGCTTTTGGTCACAGGGATGTGCTTCTTTCTCGGAGGCATCGTCAACATGCGCCACCAAATCACCGGCCAAGGTACCGAACAGACGTTTGCCACTGGAAGGGCGCAGATATTCTGCTCCCTCATCGCTCTTTCCTCGATGTCTCTTCTGATTCCTACAGTGGTAAGTGCTTCCCCGGTACTTTCGCTGCTGCGCAATGTGACTAACACCGGCTGGCAGCTCTCTGCTGTGTTGGGGAACGACGACAGTTTCGAGAAGGAGCGCAGC